TGTGGGAAAACAAAGATAGCAGAGCTTGGGTTTGGGGTTTTTTCACCCTGCCAAAATCTTGCTTTAGATTTCTTGTCCAACGTGACCCATTTTTCCAGAAATGATAAGCACTTATTTCTCCTGATGAAATAAACAGAAAAACACAGAGCTTGTAGAAACCTGATTTTCAAGTATTAATATATGAATGCTTGGGTTCTTTTAATTTTAGCAATTATCTATGCCTAGTGTCATTTTGCTGTTTATATTACAATTGAGATTATAGCAAAAAAAAAAAGTAAAATCAATCCTCTTACTAAGAGTTTCTTTTCAGGTGTTTTTTCTTCTTGTGTTTTCAGAGTAAGCAGGCAAGTGAAGCTGCAGAAAATGGCCCACGTGATTGAGGGGATTGCTTGCAAGAGTATTTGCAGTGTCAGCTTGAAAATACATTTTGGAAAGATGGAACGAAAAAGAGGGATGTTTTGACGCAGAATTTGGGAGGAAGAACAAAAATATTTAAAAGGAGTGAGCATCAATAACTCAATTGAATTGCTGGAAGGCATTCTTTTGCTTGTATAAGTCTAGTGCTTTTAGGCCAGGAAGCCATTTCCTCACACAGAAACTGTCCACAGCACGCTATGATAGTGGTGATGGACTAATTGCTGCATCACTAACACCTGTTAGTGTTAGTGATGTCAGCATCATCTGGAAATGGTGAGCTCAGGAGAGTGCCTGAAATCACATCCTGGGCGGGGGGGGTAAGGGAGGAGGGGTATAATTAATAAGCTTGTGAAAGGGCTGAGTGGTGCTTCTGCACAAAAGGAGAACAAATCATGGATACATCGAGCCATGGAGTGCAAGGAGAGCTATTCTGACTTGGAGTGAGAGAAGATGTGTGGTGATAGCCAGATCTCCTGGGTAATAGGGCTTGCTGGGAGCTGGGGCTGTTGTGAGGCAGTTAGGATGTGAGCAGGAGAAGGGCTGCTCAGCAAGGGCCTGAGGCTGCTGTCAGAGCAAGAATAAGCTCTGAAGGAGGCTCAGAGTCTGCAGCAGCAGCAGGGTGCTGACACACTGGAGGTTGCTTACGGGGCCTTTGCCCAGGAGGTGAGGACATGAGTCATGTAACTCTCTCTTCAACCTTCTGGTAATGGAATGACCATTGCTAAGCAGCCTGGCGAGGGCACATTTGATGCCTCCACTGAAATGGGAAAGTTGTTTCCTTTGGACTGGAAAATATTACATTTATTGATTTTTTTAAAAAATCAGTCTTAAAAATTACAATCTAGCATTTTGAATAGTTGCTGCTCAAGCTTGTTTATAATTTCTGTCTCACCAGGTTCTGTAAGGTGGCGCTTGCAGCTAAAATTGTTAATGAAAGAAAGCCTTTTTTGTGTGACCCTTATCAAGTTCTAAAAATTGTTCTCATATTTAGTCAAGGAGTTCTAGAAACACTTAGTTTATAAAGCCTGACTATGTGTGGGAAAATACTGACTTGACCACTGGGTTTTCAGAAGTTTGAAATTGTTACACGAGCTTAACTTTTCAATAAATTGGTTCTCATACTACATGGAAAAATCTCTAGAAACTTAACTTTCCTCACTCAGTTCATATAGCAGGAGAATCACATATGCATGGTATAAAAATTATCAATTCCTTAAATGCTGTTAGTAAACGAAATAAGTCTTTGTGTTTCTCCTTCATGAGAGAGAAATTGTAGTGTTTTGGAACCTAGCATATACCGAATTAATGTGTGTATATATATATATATGTGTGTGTGTGTATATATATATATATATTTATATATACATATGAACATGTCTACATATAAACATTATACTTACGTATTTAAACTTATAAAAGGGTAGATTTTACACTTAACCAAACGTATCTGTTGATCTACTGAATGGACCCAATTTTCTTCTCTCTCTTTCTCTCCCTCTGCCCCCACCACCTCTTTCACCCTACCTTTTTATTTTTGGCATGAGAATGAGAATGAACAAAAATTACCCCTGTTGTCTTGGCTGTATGGCTTAATCCACTGAACTAAAGACTTGGAGTGAAAAAGGAAAAAAAGGAAGAAACCTACATCAGCAATAACATTGACAAAAATAAAATTCTGTTCTTCTTGTGCATCAAAAAAATGTCACTTTCTATTTTTCAAATGTTTATGCACTCAAGGGTCCCCTACAGGGTATTTAGATGGCTCATATGCATAATATTAAATGCAATACTGCAACACTGAGGTCTTGCTTGTTAAATTCTTCTTGGAAGGTTCTTCATGCACATAGAAAATTGCTTCACTATAGACAGCCCTTACTCAAGTGTAACCCTATTGCAACTCTTGCTGAAGAAACAGTTATTCCAATGAGATAGTAACTTATTTTCAGGAGTAGGCTACTGGAGCGTGTTTGTGAGGACTGCAGTCCTCACAGAAGGAAAGTGCTTTATGTAGAATGACACAGTTGTAGAAATTATCTGAGGATAAACACAACAAAGAGAATACCATGTTAGTGATTATCCTGTATTTCTTTTTTTAAAAAGTGAGTTAGACATAATATTGTTGAATGGTCCTTCTTTTTCCCAACATAAAGTCTTTTGATACTATTTGAAATTGCATTACTAGGAAATGAAGTAAACAGGTTTTTGTGTGTATGTTTAATGGGTTGTTATGAAAGCAGAGTTAAACTGCTTTGTGTTTTAATTTCTTTCAAAAGTCCCTGTCCTGTAAACACCTTGCTTCCAACCGTGGCAGGTTTCTGTATCCCCATACTGAATGCAGGGGGCTTCTGCATAGATTCACTTCCCTGCCACTGTGCTAATATTTGCTGGCTCAGGGCTGAATGCACATGCCTACCTCTACATGCATTAGTCATACCAATGAACACAAATGAGGGAGGTGACCTCATGAAACAGCTACATCAGGGATGTAAAGTACATTATTCTTAAGGTTGTTCTGCAAACACATCTGGAACTGCAGCCTGACACCACCTGAAAGACTGCCAAATGATAAGAACCTTTCATTTGACATAGTCAAATTGATAAGGTGAATGATTAGCAGCACCTAACTACATAATGCAGCCTTTGGATATGATTAACTTTTTAAAGAAAAGAAACAAAACCCAGCAACTAGTATGTTTCTAACATGATTAGCAAAAGCACTTCTGAGAAATGTTTTCTGCAAAATGTGCTGTTGTATTTCATGTCATTACGTATTTTAAAAAGCAAAATGTATTCACTTCAGAGAATGACAGTATCTGGAGGATATAAGCAGTGAATGTCCTTGCCTATAATATGTTTACGTATCTTTGAAATTTGAAAAAAGATGTTTTTCACAGTTTCATTGAATATCTTGAGGTAATGAATGGCACTGCATTTAAATTATAAATTATGTCTTTCCATTTCTCTTTTGACTGTCTGAACTTTGTTACAGCTTCAGAATAACAACTTGTGCTAACCACAGGCATAAAATTATTCAGCACTCCTTCTATCCGAAGTGTATTTTTTACCCAGACATGCAAAGCACACAATTATTATGTTAAGGCAATATTCATATGTAATATTAATGTTCTTATAATTTTACCTAAAAAATGATGGAAAATATGTGCTCTCTCATATCATTTAGGTTAATGTGCACTCTAAAAATAATACTTCATAACCCTAAATTTCCTTGTATGCTTACATCTCTGTGGTATGCTTTCCAATATTCAACACTTGGCCACAGCATGCAGCTAATATTCCAGTAGTCTCCTTTCTTCTTTTATTTATCTGATCTGCTTTGGGGTATGTCTTGAAGCAATGCTGCTTTATGTGCATGGGATGCACACGGCTAAATCTGGAGTTTTGGTGCCATCCGATGGACTTGCTACTGGAAGTTGTGTTCCCACACTCCTTAATCAAAGCGTCCATGTCTTTTCCCCAGTTCCTCAAGGGCTGCTTGCAAGATTGCTGATATATTTGGCCTAGTGCTAAAGACAGGTAAGACTTGTGTAGATCTTTAGCTCCGTCCTCCCTAAGTATCTAAATACTGTTGGCACAACCTGCTCTCTCCTGGCTGCCAGAAAGTGAGAGTCAGCCATCAACCTGTATGTGATGCTTTCTGGTGAGGAGGCAATGAGACAAGATATTGGCCTGTAACAGTCTGCAACTTATCACCTATTTTTGGGCTATGGAAACAACACAGGAAAGCCAAGCTCAAGTTGTATTTGAGGCAAAATGGGACAGGTTCTGTCCGGGTTGCTTGTATTTTTGCCCTTGAAAAAGAGTTTAGTCTGGTCTTTTTGGTTAGATTCAAATAGTTTGGAACTTCAGGTGGTAAAATGGTAGCAAGCTAAGTACAAAAAATACCCCCCTAAGTTAAACAGATACTGCTCACTCCTGCAAAATTATCTTCTGTATTGGTCATTCTCTAGGCTGATATTTTTGTCTAGCAAATATTTTTCTAAAAGAGATTTACTGCATGAACCTCCACTAATAGTAATACCTATCATGTAATGCCTTAAAACAGAATAGCTGCTTTGAGTAAAAATCCTCACAGTCACCTTGGCAAACTGTAAATTATGGTTTTATTCCCTTTTCACATCAATAGAGTTGTACACAGAGGTAGAGTTTATTTATAGGTAAAGTACAAGATATTATCAGAACTCAGATTAAAACTAGGATTTTTCAAGTGCTTTTCATTTTCTTAGGGACTGCATGTTTCTATTTCATTTGCCCTTTTACTCTAATACAAATGAATTTATTAAGATAAGAATGTCAAAGCAAAATACCAGAAACATCTTAGTGTAAGTATTTGTGCATCATTCTACCCCTAAAATTCGTGATTCATGTCTTGGTAGAGGAGCACCACATCTGCATCAGTGTATTGCACATAGAATCAAAGAAGGGAGCTTTTATCTGCATCAGTGTATTGCACATAGAATCAAAGAAGGGAGCTTTTGTCATTTAAAGTTTGATTTAAATTTTAAAAAATGACTAAGCAGCATAGCAAACATTTTTCTAATGTTCTTAAAAATTCTGTGTTTCAGAGTGTGGCTACTGACCCATCTTCCTGAGGAGAATGGCTGAGATGTCTTTGAAATTATTCCTGGAATTCGACCAGCATGAGATCTCTACCAAACTGAGGTAATACTGTTGAAAGGCAAGAAATCTGAGGTGATGTATGTCCAACTGTCTGTGCATTGACAATGTCAACTGCTGAAAACATTCCCCATGCCTGGGGCCAAAGGAAACAGTCAGAATGGGTAAACCTGAGGACATCAGTCTCTTCTGAGGGATATTTGGTTGGTGAAGCCAAAAGCTTTTCTAGGTAATATCTAGATCCAGGTTTTACTAATAATGATAGCCCAGACTTCTGCCATAATGAAGTACCTTCTTGGAGGTTAACTAACTAGTTATTTACCTAACAATACTCAGCATAATGTCAAGCACAGGAATGGTGTCGCTTTTGGTTAGTTTGTAGAGCCTTTAAAACCTCAGAAATTTCACTATGAGAAAACCAGACAATTTAAAATGATAGCGTGGGCAGTAAAATTATGTAGCGTATTACTACTAAGCCTTCTGCTAGAAAATTCACAAATTCTTCTTTCTTTAACTCTTCACCAGAACAGGTTTTGGTTACAATTCTTTTCTGTCAGGGTGGACCTGACATGAAATGATGTCAAAAATCAGTCACATTAGGATTACACACATAAATAAGACAAGTACAATTTGCCAAGTGATATGCATGAAAATGAATTTTTTTGCTATGGAATGATTTTTTTGAAATGTTTTCTTTAAATGGTATTAGCTAGAAAGCAGCAGAAAATATGCCCTGGTCTATACCAGGAGGTATATCTGTCTCACTCTGTTTCATCAAGCTTACATAAGTTATGTATGGCATTTTCATTATGGATAGTAGTCTGGCCTTAGAAAGATATCAATTATTATGAAATATGTTTCATTAATTGTTTCTCTCTTGTGAGGATTTAAAGAATAGTTTGTGTTGAAAAGAGCAAATGATAAACACTGTTTGTTAAGATCTCTGTAGTGTAAAATAAAATACTGCCTCTCCTAATAATTTCAGCAAGACAAAATTGGTACCCTTTTAATTATGTTTAATTATGTTTAATTATTGTTTAATTATGTTCAATTATTTAATTATGCTATATGTACATTGTGCTTCTGACACCTTTGCTGGGAGGAGGAGTAACTTGCCAACATTACTGGCATTATGCAACCTGAAAAACCTGCACCCCCCAAAAAATCAGGGTGTTCAAGTTACTATCAGAAAACAAATTAAAATGCTAAACCCATTGCAAACAATATGCTTCATGTTCAGAAATTCCATTTACTCCAAAGGTGTGACCTGATTTCAGTGGGAAGTCTGTAAACAGAGGGTTGAAAATCTAGGTTCTTAATATCAAAATCCTCACTCCAAAAATACGAAGGACAAAGGATGAAACTGATATTAAGAAAAGTATGAACAAAAATGTTTTTCACAAGTCTGTCAATGTCAGTAATTTCTCTCAGTTGTCAAAACTCATGTTTACAGAAGTTAATTCACAGATAATATCTTATGTACTGGAAGATTTATAGGTATCTAAACATTTCTTAAAGACAAAAGTTGCTGCACTTCCTAATAACTCTCTCAATTGCATATCTGTTCTCAAGTTAAATATGTAACAATACATATATTTATATATATACAGTTCTCTTTAAGAGAAAGTATGCACAAAATTGTGTATGTATTCAGATTGGTATACATGCAAATGCCTCTGTAATTTCTAGTGGTCCCTAATTCTAGAAGAATGGAACGCTTATGCTGTTGAAGGTCTTCATTAAAACATACATTATTCTATAATACAAGTAATATCTAATTTAAGAAATATTTTATTAATATGAAGTTCAACAAAATGCTTAATCTCTTCAGGATTTTAGTGCTACCTCCTATCTGTGAAGCCATCCATAAGATCTCAGACTGAGTTTGCTGTTGTTGCTCACCTCAGTCTTACTTTAGATATACGTACCTCAGGCGCTGGTCTTCCCCAGTAAAAAGGGACTAAAGACAACAGAAAAGGTAGCTTATCTAGAAGAGGGTGAAAAACAGTATTCCATAACAATTAAGACTCCTGGAAAGCAGCAAATACCTTAACTGAAGGTATTCTTAATAATTAATTTAAGAACCTGATTTAAGCTGAACGCAGGACAACAAATTACCTTGCTATTCTATGCAACCATTTCTTCAGGAAAGCTTTGAGATGTCAGTGTAAATTCCAGTGTAGGTACATCCCAGTTTTTAAGGATACTGCAAAGACTCACCAAGCTAGCCAATAGCATCAAGGTGCCTTCCCCCTGGAAAAGGATTTGGATGGGACAAATTTTATGTTCAGCTCAGCTGACTTGGATCAGTAAGGTGGGTGTAGTTGATGTGGTGTCTGTACATACTTCATATTCTGAAAAAATAGATCATTTTTGTATAATAGAAACAGGGTTTTTTTACTTTTTAGAAATCATAAAACTTGTACAGCAGCAGAATTAGCTGCTCTACTTTTTGCCTGTATCGCCTGATGAATCTGGAATTTGTGAGATTCATGAATGTGGCAATCATGAATAAGGCAATGAGGCAAATCAACTTTGCAAGCTGAGCAAGACTGAGTGTCCTCATCTAGAAACTGTCCATTCCTGATGAAGGGGAATAGTTCTGACTTTCTCTGTAGAGATAAGAAATAGAGGCAGCCAATTATAAGGGCAGGTAGAAGGATTTAGGTAGAATTTAGGCTGGCAGCATCCAGGCCAGCTTTATTTATGTAACTCCTGTGTTCTGGCATCTCCTCTACCTTTATGTCTGATAGGCCAGAGCCTGGTGGTCAATTTGATATGTTTGGAGAGTTGAACATGCTCCAAATAAGGTGACTTCTTTTTTTTCTTTTCTTTTTTTTCCTGAAAAGTAAGGGTCCTGAGCAAAGCTCCGTCAACAGCATCTTCCACTCTCCTGCCACAACCCCCACTACGACCCATCACTTGATGATTTTATGCTTTGAGGTTTTTTGGCGGGTTTTCATTTTGGCTTTTTTTTTTTTTTTTTGAGGAGGGAGAGGGGAGGCCTTTTGGTTTTTTTGTTTTATTAAATTGTGTCATAAAATGAGCAACCCTACTCAGAAAGAGCAATATTTCAGTAACTGGGATGAGAGCTAGTGGCAAAATAAATGTCAGCAGCAAACCCAAACATCTCTTTACCTACTCTTTGTATCATAGATGCTCTTCAGTTTTAATTAACTGATCAGCACAAAAAGTGATAGTCTTCCTCTTCTTCCAGGGTCTACATCTTAGTTGTTTTGTCACCATTTTACAGAAAAAGTGTGTAAGGCAGTGGAGCATATATGGCAAAAATAAAAAGACAACCTCCTCTTGCATTAGAGTCTTGGAAAACTGTCAGTTTGTGAGTTCAGTCTTAAAGTTACACTAGAAGAGAATTGTGCATTTGAGTTTTTGAAAGTTTAGCAGAGTAAGAATGAAAGCTTCCCTTGAAACCATTATGATATTGTCACATAGTGTTTTTCTTATTTATTTAGTCAGCAGAGGTTGATGGTAGGACCTTCAAAGCTGTAGCATAAGCTGCATTTATTTGAGCCAACAGAGTAACCAATAACCGTGGTCAGACACTTTCCTGTACGTGGGCAGTGCTTGGAGACGTATCACATATATTTTGCCTCCAAGATATGCATGAGTGGAATTTAGGGTAGGTGGGCTGCTGGGCTCTGCATCTGGAGCTGGGGTGGGCTTGGTAGCCCTACAGTTCTACAAGAATCGTAATCCTATGACAATTTTATTTGCAAAGTGGGTATTTGTTGGCTGCTGTGAAGGGAAAATCATACTGAGAAACAAGGCTTTATATAACAGAAAAGAATTCTTCTTTGCACAATGGAGACATGTCCCAGTTTAGAGACAAGTTTAGGAGAAAATTCCCTGGAATAAGTGTTCCCTCTAAAAGGATTCAAACAATCCCTTTCTGTCAACAGGAAACAAATACCAGTGAATGAAAGTGAAAAAAACCCCAAATAAACAGCTGTTTATTGACAGTTTGCCCACATGGTACAGGAAAAAGGTAAAGAAATGCTAGATATTGAAATGTCAGACCTTAACTCCCCCCCCCCACCCTGACCCTGGAACAAAACCCAAAAACGCCAGGGAAAGAAAAAAACAGCAGCTGGACACATAGTGGGTAGAAAATGGCATGGGCATTCAGGAAAAAAAACCAAACAAAAAAAAAAAAAGAGATTCCAATAGCAGTTCAGGCAAACAGATGTGAACCTGGTGACTCTGGTGTCGTTCCCCTCTTCACAGCAGAGGAAGCAGATGGGCTTAGTGTGCTTTCTCTCAGTGGCTGGGCTTTTTCTGAGGTGTGGAGCCAAAAAAGAGCAGCCTCTTGCCTTTCCTGCCAGTTCAACTGAACCCCTCTCCTGCCAGTAATCCTCTTTAATCTTACACCAAAACCAAACAGTCCAGTTCACTTTGAAAAAGATGCCAAAGGATTGCTGCTGCTGCCTCTCCAAGGACATGGAAGGATAAGAAAGCTCCTTGCCTGGACTAACAAAAAAGCCAAGCTAGCCAAGCAGAAAACCCCAGATTGCACGGCACCCTGGATGCCATGGGAATGAGGCTTCGGAAAAAAAGGACATGCCAGAATGCCAAGGCTTCCTACTCTCCCAGACCCACCCTAGAGATACAGCAACCTGTATTGGGCATAAAGCAGAGGATTAGGAAATAGAGTACCGTCATAAAAAGACAGAAAGAAAATGAAAGAGTCCTTTTGTTTCTTAAATCACATCCAAGTGTATTTTCCTTCCATAAATCAACATTCTAAAGCTCATGGTGTTTTAGGGGTTTTACCTTTAGATGCTATATATAAATCCCTTTGCAATGGTGGGAGTGCTATAAAAGTATGCAAACATATGCACATATGTATTTATTTAAATAAAAGTAGGGGACAGAACATGGCATATTTAAAGGCACAGGGCAACAAGAATACCCTTGGAGAGCTCTGTCTGAAGATGGCAAGGTTGGTTCTATTTTCAGTGATGGTCTTTTCAGTTTTAGCTCATTCTCTGGAGTAAAATATTTTAATTAAATACAGTTTTTTCATT